GGAAACCCTGTACAGGGTCACTATGAGTCTGAACCGACTCCACAGTACTTAATTACAACATATATATATCCAAAGAACTAGTTCAGCTATCATGATTTGTTTTAGATTGAGTTTTAGTATTATTTTTCTATCATCAGTGTCTGTGATTGTTATAAAACTGATTGATTTAAAAGCACTCTATTTTCCATTTCTTGTACTTCATATTGCTTATACTGATTTAGAGTTATAGTGTACAATTATCTACCATTCTAGTCTTCTAAATTAACCCTTTAAAATAATATGCTCTCTCTAGGTCTCTTTTATATATATCAATAACACATGCACATGAGCTTCAAAAAGTTCATGGAATTAAAAGATAATGGAATTTCCCCACAAACTTTTTGAAGTAGATGTATTCACACATATGTATACAAACACACATCTATACACCAGAGCTTTTCTCTGAGCACAAAACAATTATATTTTGATAGTAATGACTGATGTTATGTTTAGATCCTGCTGAGTATTCAGCTTTGTCTCATTGCTTCATCTTACCAAAACAGACATACTGACTGCCTTTTCACTTAATGAATTCCCTTAGAAAATGAAATATAGAACTCACTTATTTTGCTAAGTTCCAAACATCTTTTTAATTACTGTTTATTTATTTTATTACTATATATTTGAAGCCATCAGCCTAAAGGAATAATTGAACTCATCTTTATTTCCTTTTATTCTTTTGCTTATGGTTACTGTATATGTGTGTTTAAATGTAGTCAATCACGCTTACATATCGAAACAATTTAATTTTGATCCAGTATTTCTCAGAGTCCTGGTGTGGCACTGTGGGTTAATATGCTGGACTGAAAGGTTGGTTTGAACTGCAAGGTTGGTGGTTTAAGCTCACCAGCCACTCCTTGGAAACCCTATTCAGGGTCACTATGAGTTGGAACCAACTTATACAATAACAACATTTCTCATAAGTTATTTTCAAATCTGTTGAAGAAACTTATATTTTCCAGATTTATTAAAATGGACTAGTTTGTGAATATAAGTGATGGGGTGGCTATTTGATCTTATAATTGATTTCATTGGTATTCTTCTGGGTAGTTTTTTGTTTGTTTGTTTTCAATGTGTGTAGGAATCATGAATTCTCCCAGTCTTTCCTTTATAAGTTCATTTTGTATCACATGTAAGTATATTCAAGCCTTATATTCAGAATCAACTTGTTTTTGAAGTCTAAATAGTGACTTAATTTCATACATGTTATCTGAGTCAATCTTTAGGAAGTGAGGGAAGGACACTTACCTTGAGTATTTGATCACAGGTATCAACTCCATTATCAATTTAGCAAATGGTTTCGTACTACTCATAGATATTTGGCCAAATTGCTTGAATATTCATCTTCTCTCTTAATTTTAGGTTTCTCATTCAGTAATTGGCCTTAATGTAAACTGTAAACTGAGACTCTAGTGGTTGGGTGAAAATAATTTCAACTAAAGGAGAGAGGAGGCCTTCAAAAGATGTCTAAGTTTGTCTTGAAGCCATGGAAAATATCTTGGAGTGTTAGAGCATATATTGTTGTTATTAAGTGTCATAGAGTGGGTTCTGACACACAGCGACCCTGTATAGGGTTTCTGAGGAGAGACTGGTGGGTTTGAACTGCCAACTTTGTGGTTAGTAGTCCAATGCATATCCTACAGCACCACACCAGGACTCCAGGGGTCTAGGGATATAATAATGTTTATGTAATTTTAAACCTTTTAAGAAAAAAGGTTTAAGATACTGTACTTGGACTAGAATTAGATGGATAAAAAGAACATAAGTCTGGAAGACAGAGATTAGTCTGTATTATTTATAAAGTGTGAAACAAGTTTGGAGCTGGCAATCAAGATCTTGGAAAATAAAAAGGTAGGGCTGGCTTTAGAACCTGAGATTAAGAGGATTATTTTGACTTAGAGGTAATTATTAAATTCTGTAAAGGTGTAACATATAAGGATAAGAATAAAAATGACATTTCATGTCATTGAATTCCTATTGTAACTTACTAGACAATATCTTTATATTATCTTTTACAATGAAAGCTTAAAACACTTAAAACTATTGTCATAAGTCTCTTTCACAAGTAAATAGGAAGATTTTATGGCATTAGCCATCCTATTCCTTAGTATGCCTTATACAGCTTTGAGCTCTTCTCTAGTTTCCTCTGGTAAAAGGAGGAAAATTATGCACACATCAGATTGTACATAATACTGGGTGTCATTTCATGACTGTCAAATTTTCTCCATACCACTTGAGGGGGCTGTTTTCCTTCATGGTCTTTGTTCTAAGTCTGGAGAGAAGACTGTCTTGTTCTTCCAATATATATACATTGCCTCTCAGTAAAATACCAACTTTTAATCTTCGTTATTGAATTAATGGCACTTCTATAAGACCCCCATCTTTAAAGAACCTTCTTGGATAGTAAACATCATCGGAAAAAAGACGCATTCAAAACTTATAACTTGCCTAGTTCTCTATACATTGGTCCAAAACAACTGTATAAATACTGAATTCCATTGAATTTGCGAAGCTTTCTGACTGCAGTTTTCTAAATCGACTCTGAGCGCCGCTATTGGCCAACACGCTGTTAGAAGTGGAGCAGGGATCTACCCAGATGATTTTCTGCACAGTCACAAAAGCAAGTCGGCAACCAGTGACCCGGACGCTTACGTTCTGCTGGACAAATCTGATTCTGGAATACGTACTGGGATGTCCTCAAACTGGGAGCACTGATTTTTCTACGTTGTGGAAGTAAATGCTTTTAAAACGACTTGTAAAGCATCTTTTCTTTACGTCGGAGGTTGCAGCGACGCAAGAAAAGAATGGGAAATAGCGCGAAACAGAGGAGCAGGATCCAGCGGCAAGTACTCTTTCCCTTCCTGCTGCCTTTGTTCTGCGGGACGCTCTCGGAGCAGATCCGTTACTCTATTCCGGAAGAAATGGCCAGGGGTTCGGTGGTGGGGAACCTCGCTGAGGATCTGGGGTTGCAGGTACAAGATTTATTGTCCCGCAACCTCAGAGTTAGTGCGGAGAAACAATACTTTACCGTGAATACAGAGAATGGTAACATACTCATCAGTGACAGGATAGATCGGGAGTCTCTCTGTCCCCAAAAACCTCTTTGCATCCTGCCCTTAGAACTTGTAGCAGAAAATCCCCTAAATATTTTTCACATAAACATGATCATAGAAGACATAAATGATAATCCGCCACGTTTCCCACAAGATAACATTGTTTTACAAATCAATGAATTTGCAATTAGAGGTTCTCGGTTTAGCTTGGAATCCGCTATAGACACGGATGTAGGGCGCAACTCTCTCCAGAGTTACCAGCTCAGCTCTAATGAGCATTTCTCTATAATGGTGAAAGACAAGACTAAAGCGCCAGAATTGGTGCTGGAGAAGCCCCTGGACCGGGAACAGCAGAGCTCCCATCTCCTGGTCCTAACAGCGATGGATGGTGGCAACCCTGTCAGAACTGGCACCACCGAAATCCGGATTAAGGTCACCGACGCCAATGACAATCCCCCAGTGTTCAGTCAGGATGAATATAAAGTCAACCTGCGTGAGAATGTGCCCCCAGGCACCTCTGTGCTAATGGTGACAGCCACTGACCTGGACGAGGGTCTTAATGCTGAGATTACCTACTCTTTTAAAACACTAAGAGATGATATTGGAAATATGTTTATGCTAGACCATCAAAGTGGAGAAATCAAATCTAAAGATCTCATAGACTTCGAAATCAGTAGTAGCTATACCATGAGCATAGAAGCCAAGGATGGTGGAGGCATGGCCGCAGAATGTAAAATTATACTCGACATTCTAGATGAGAATGATAATGCCCCAGACGTGGTTTTCACTTCGGTATCAAGTTCTGTTCCGGAGGATGCAGAACTTGGGACGGTGATAGCTCTGTTCAAAACATATGATAAAGATTCTGGGGAAAATGGGAAAGTAACATGCCTCATAAAAGAAAACGTTCCTTTTAGAATAGAATCTTCTGCCAATAATTACTACAAACTTGTAACAGAAGGGGCCCTGGACCGGGAGCAGACCCCGGAGTACAACATTACCATCATAGCCACCGACAAGGGCGAGCCGCCGCTCTCCTCCAGTACAAGCGTCACCCTGCACATTGCCGATGTCAATGACAACCCTCCGGTTTTCCATCAGGACTTCTATATGGTACAAGTGTCTGAAAACAATCCTCCAGGCGCCTCCATTGCGCACGTTAGCGCCTCAGACTCGGACTTGGGGCCCAATGGCCACATCTCCTATTCCATCGTGGCCAGCGATCTGGAACCGCGGGCGCTGTCGTCCTACGCGTCTGTGAACTCACAGAGTGGGGTGGTGTTCGCGCAGCGAGCCTTCGACCACGAGCAACTGCGTGCCTTTGAGCTGACGCTGCAGGCGCGTGACCATGGCTTGCCCGCGCTCAGCGTCAACGTGAGCGTGCGTGTGCTGGTGGGCGACCGCAACGACAATGCGCCCAGGGTACTGTACCCAGCGTTAGGTCCCGATGGGTCGGCGCTGTTCGACACCGTGCCCCTTGCTGCACAACCGGGCTATCTGGTCACCAAGGTGGTGGCTATAGATGCAGACTCGGGACACAATGCCTGGCTGTCCTACCACGTGCTGCAGGCCAGCGAACCTGGTCTCTTCAGTCTGGGGTTTCGCACCGGCGAAGTGCGTACTGCTCGCGCCTTGGGCGAAAGGGATGCAGCCCGCCAGCGCCTGCTGGTCGCTGTGCGCGATGGAGGACAGCCACCCCTGTCGGCCACCGCCACGCTGTATCTAGTTTTTGCTGACAACTTGCAGGAGGCGCTGCCAGACCTCAGCAACCGCCTCACACCCTCTGACCCCCAGGCTGAACTGCAGTTCTATTTGGTGGTGGCCTTGGCCTTGATCTCCGTGCTCTTCCTCCTCGCAGTGATTCTGGCCATAGCCCTGCGCCTGAGACGCTCTTCCAGCCCCACCACCTGGGGCTGCTTTCAGTCTGCTCTCTGTTCTAAGACTGAATTTGGGGTTTCTGCAAACTACAGCGAGGGAACTTTGCCTTATTCCTACAATCTGTACCTAGCCTCTGATTCAGGAAAAACCAAGCTTAATCTTCTCACCAAGACTCCAGAAATGGCTCCCCCACAAGATCTCTGTAAAGAAGCTTCCTTGATAGTAAGTGTTACTAAGCAGAATAACAAGATGCGCTCTTATGCTGTTACTTCTTCTCATGTGGGTTTCAATAGATTTTATATCTGCAAATATAATTATCATTTAAAACTAGCCTTGATAGTCTTCAAGTATTTTGAAACATTTTGATAATTTCATGAGAAATTCTTTATTAACCCCAATCTTCTTTACTGTGAGAAGTGCGTGTTGTGATACTACCGACAGCCAAATATTTTTTACTGAAACATAAGTATTTTCTTTCTGTGTTTATCTTCCGTGATATATCACTATCTTGAGTATACAAGTATAAGTGGCTTTTATTAGAGCTTTATTTATTATAAAGTAGAGGAAAATGGATGCAAAACAATTTTAATAAGGGCATAGTAATGATTTAATAATAATGTTCAGATAAATTTTCTAGGAATTCGTTGAATGCCACTGAGTTGTTCAATTTTAGATCAGCTCTTTTTCACAGGTACCTGTAGATTCCCTTCCAATCCTACCGTATTGCTTTATGTGTACCAAAGATCTTACCTTCAGAATATAGATATAAATGTTTGTGTCATACAAACAAAATAGTTAAATATCTCTTAGGTATGATGTTTTTTCCAATATTTTTATGAACTTCCAAATGTAAATCTCAGTAACTGGAATAGGTGTGTTACCCAGGAAAAGATAAGTATATAATATTATTTTGATTACTAATTTTCTTTTGTTAAATCTCCCTCAACACCAAACTTTAAAAAAGAATCAAATGTATTAATAGAATTTTGGAACATTGTCCCTATTCCCAGGCAATGCAAGTTAAAATCCTTCAACTTTGTTTTGAAACACTTATGTGTCTTCTTTACTTGCCTCCTGAAAATGTTTTAAAATTAAGTGTTAAATGTCAAGAACCTGATTATAAGTAGCTCTTCCATTAAGGAAGTTTCAGGAAATAAAAACAAATTTTAAAGTGTTCCGTTATGTGAATTATAAAAATGGGAATAGGTAGGTTAGGGTTGGTCTCAAACAAAGAGTGGTGAAAACATAAGATTAAAGTAACTATTCATAGAAACTTCAAATTTGTTTACAGTCTTTTTGAAAAAAATGAGAATATATCTATAGCTACAAAAAATAATCTCAGGGAAGTATCTGTATGAAAAATTTCAGGGAAACAGAAAGAAGCTACCTGAAGTTTCAACTAGAAACGAATTCTGTGTTTTTTAGTTGATCCACTACCATTTCTATATGAAAAACAGTCGTTGTTAAGTGCTGTCGAGTCGGTTCCGACCCATAGCGGCCCTGTACAGGCTTTCCGAGGCTTTAAATCTTCATGGGAGCAGAAGTCTCATGTTTCTCTAACATGACGAACAGTAGGTGGAGCTATTTAAGGGATAAAAAGCAAAAATCCTTTCCCCTGCAAGATTGGTTAGGACTCTGAGCGCCGCTGTTCACCAATCAGGGAGAGAAAAGCAGAGAGATCCTGCTCACCGTGCACGTTAAACTGGGAAAGCACCGACAGAAACTAGACAATCATCTCTCCGACTGTGAGGCAACTGAGTGGAGGAACTCTGGCACCCAACAGTCAGATTTCAAGAATTGAGGGGCTGATCTTAACTTCCGTGGTCAAGGGCAGTTTGGAAACAATCCTAGAAGAAAGCGACAATGATTCCTGCACATCTGCACCGGGGCTGCGAAGGGCTGATCCTGCTGGGAGTCCTCCTGGGGATCCTGTGGGAAACTGGATGCACCCAAATCCGCTACTCAGTTCCTGAGGAGCTGGAGAAAGGTTCCATTGTGGGTAATATTGTCCATGATCTGGGACTGGAGCCCCAGGAGCTGGCGGAGCGTGGAGTCCGCATCGTCTCTCGAGGTAGGATGCAGCTTTTCGCTCTGAACTGGAGAAGCGGCACGTTGATCACAGCGGGTAGGATAGACCGGGAGGAGCTCTGTATGGGGGCCATCAAGTGTCAATTAAATCTAGAGATTCTCATTGAGGATAAAGTGAAAATATATGGAGTGGAGATAGAAGTGAGGGACGTTAATGATAACGCCCCCTACTTCCGAGAAGGTGAACTAGAAATAAAAATGATTGAAAATGCAGCCACTGGGATGCGGTTCCCTCTTCCCCACGCTTGGGATCCTGATATTGGGAAGAACTCTCTCCAGAGCTATGACCTCAGCCCGAATACTTACTTCTCTTTGGACGTGCAAAGCGGGACGGATGGAAACAAGTACCCAGAGCTGGTGCTGGAGCGCTCCCTGGACCGCGAGGAAAAGGCTGTTCACCACCTGGTCCTCACGGCTTCCGACGGGGGCGACCCGATCCGCAGCGGCACCGCCCGTATCCGTGTTACGGTCGTTGATGTGAATGACAACTCTCCAGTGTTTACTCAGTCCGAGTACCGCGTGAGCGTTCTGGAGAATGTGGCCGTGGGCACTCAACTTCTCCTGTTAAACGCCACCGACCTTGACGAAGGAGCCAATTCGGAAGTGACGTATTCTTTCCGGTATGTGGACGACAAAGCGGTTCAAATTTTCAAACTAGATTATAATTCGGGAACCATTTCAACAATAGGAGAGCTCAACCACGAGGAGTCAGAATTCTACGAGATGGAAGTGCAAGCAATGGATAATGCTGGATATTCAGCTCGAGCCAAGGTCCTGATCACAGTTCTGGACGTGAATGACAATGCCCCAGAATTAGTTGTCACCTCTCTCATCAGCTCTGTTCTGGAAGACTCTCCCAGAGGGACATTAATTGCTCTTTTAAATATAAATGACCAAGACTCTAAGGAAAACGGGCAAGTGATCTGTTCCATCCAAGGAAATCTACCCTTTAAATTAGAAAAGTCTTACGGAAATTATTATAGTTTAGTGACCAACACAGTCTTAGATAGGGAACAAGTTCCTAGTTACAACATTACGGTGACCGCCACCGACCAGGGAAGTCCACCCCTGTCCACAGAAACTCACATTTTGCTGAATGTGGCAGACATCAACGACAACCCACCTGCCTTCCCTCAAGCCTCCTACTCTGCCTATATCCCAGAAAACAACCCCAGAGGCACCTCCATCTTTTCTGTGAGCGCCAAGGACCCTGACGCTGATGAAAACGCCCAGGTCACTTACTCCCTGGCTGAGAACATACTCCAGGGAGCTCCGCTGTCTTTATCAGTCTCCATCAACTCTGACACTGGAGTTCTGTATGCACTGCGATCGTTCGACTATGAACAGTTTCGAGAGCTACAGCTGTGGGTGACAGCACGTGACAGTGGGACCCCTTCGCTCAGTAGCAATGTGTCATTGAACATTTTCATAATGGACCAGAATGACAATGCCCCTGAGATCCTGTACCCCATCTTCCCCACTGATGGTTCCACTGGTGTAGAACTAGCACCTCGATCTGCAGAGCCCGGCTACCTGGTGACCAAGGTGGTGGCAGTAGACCGTGACTCAGGACAGAACGCTTGGCTGTCGTACCGCCTTCTCAAGGCTAGCGAGCCAGGGCTCTTCTCGGTAGGGTTGCACTCAGGCGAGGTGCGCACTGCGCGGGCCCTGCAGGACAGAGACGCGCTTAAACAAAGCCTCGTGGTGGTCGTCCAGGACCATGGCCAGCCCCCTCTTTCGGCCACCGTCACACTTACTGTGGCCGTTGCTGACAGCATCCCAGATGTATTGGCAGACCTGAGCAGTCTTGAGACTCCTGCCAACCAGGACAATTCAGGCCTCACGCTGTACCTGGTGGTGGCCGTGACCTCTGTCTCCTGTGTCTTCCTCATTTTTGTCATCGTGCTCCTGGCGTTAAGGCTGAAACGCTGGCACAAGTCTTCGCGCCTGCTACAGACTTCAGGAGGCGGGTTGGCGGGTGTGCCTGCCACGCAGTTTGTGGGCGTGGATGGCATGCAGGCCTTTCTACAAACCTATTCCCATGAGATCTCTCTCACTGCAGACTCACGGAAGAGTCATTTGATCTTTCCGCGGCCCAACTACGCAGACACCCTGATCAGTCACGACAGCTGTGAGAAGAGCGAGCCTCTTTTGCTGTCAGGTGATTTTTCTAAAGACAATACATTAGTTCAGGTGAGTCCGTGTCAAATATTATTGCCTGAGCATCCAGCAAAATATGAGCAAATTTGTGTATTGTGGAATATATAAAGTAGTACAAACTCTGTGTTAATACACTATATGCTGTTATTGTTAAGTGCTTTTGAGTCTGTTCCGACCCATAGCAACCCTGTATAGGGTTTCCAAGGAGCAAAACCGCTAACTTTGAGGCTGACTTTGCAGTCCAGCTCATTAGCCCACAGTGCCACACCAGGATGGTGTAACATGAGAAAGAAAAAACTAGAGAGAATCATTCATTTTATTCTCATCCTTTATAGATTTCGGGAATATAATGTATATATGTTTCGAGATTAGACACTTTTGTGTGTGTGCCATTTTACTTGCACTAAGGAGCTCTGGTAGCGTAGTGGTTATGAATCGGGCTGTGAACCTTAAGGCCAACAGTTCGAAACTACCAGCTGTTCCGCGGGAGAAAGATAAGGCGTTCTGCTCCCGTAAAGATTTACAGCCTCGGAAACCCTGTACAGGGTCGCTATGGGTCAGAACCAACTCGACGTCACTTAACAACAACAACAACAACAATAGGAATCCTGGTGTAGTGCTGTGGGGATAGTGCGCTGGACTGCAAAGTCGGCTTGAACTTCAAGGTCAGCAGTTCAAGCTCACTAGCTGCTCCTTGGAAACCCTATAAAGGGTCACTATGGGTTGGAACCAACTTGATGGCACTTAACAACAAACAACAATGAGCTTCATGGAGTCCTGGGTTAATGCACTGGACTGCAAAATCAGTTTGGACAACAAGGTTGACACTAACAACAGTAGTGAGTTTAATGGTGATTTTGTAGAATACTGAGGATTAACAAATTTTGTTTTGAGCACATTTTTGGTACTGTGATGAATTTGCCATAAGTCTCTTTGCTTCCTATGTTGTTTCCCACCACTTTTATTCCACACACGGAACATTATCTGGAAAAGTGATGGGATTCTAAGTATTCTAAGAATCTTGTGCTTATCGTAGAATTTATAACAGAAATTGAATGCTAAAGTGTCTTTGGAACAAATGTTCTGTTTTGTAAAAGCTTAGGGAACTATACCATACAAATTGCCCTTTCTTTCTTCTTTATTGCCTATCTACTTAAAAAATAAACTAGTTAAAAAAACAAGATTTATATAAGAGCTTGGAAACCACTTACAGAATGAAAGATGATCAAATGGCCCAAAATGAGGCAATTGATATTACTTTCTGCTTCTCAACAGCCAAGCCAAAAAAAAAGAAAAAAAGAAAAAAAAGGAACTATAGAGCTCTGGTAGCGTAGTGGTTACGAATTGGGCTGCTAATCTCAAGGTCAGCAGTTCGAAACTACCAGTGGTTCCGTGGGAGAAAGATGAGGCTTTCTGCTCCCATAAAGATTTACAGCCTTGGAAACCCTGTACAGGGTCTCTATGGGTCGGAATCACCTCAACAGCACTTAACAACAATAGCAACAACAACATAGATGTATAGATGTGGTTCTACTTGGCTGACTTTTAAAAAGGAAGTATTTCAGCTTGATGTATTAAATTCCAAGTAGACTTTAATAGAGTTCTGTATGTAATACTTAGGGGAATAGAGGACAATCCAGTTCCTTTGAGAGGTAAGGCAATGAATAGACATGATCCTTAGACAGTACCTCAAATATCAGTGATCTCAGCAATACTTCCAGTGTGAGCTGAATACTGTTGTTGTTGAGTGCCTTTGTGTTGGTTCTGACTCATAGAGACCCTGTATAGGGTTTCTGAGGCTTTAAATCTTGGTGGGAGCAGAAAGCCTCATCTTTCTCCCACAAAGCATCTGGTGAGCTCAAAGCACCAACTTTGTGGTTCTCGGTCCACTGATTATTGTATGGAGCTACTGCACTGTGCTCCTCTTGAGCTGAATATGCCTCGTTAAATAGTTATAAAATGAATGAATGGACAATTTAATGTGATCTTATATTGCCTGGGACAAGTATTTTAAGTTTTTATTGTGTGTCATTGAGTTGATTCCTACACATAGGCATCCTGTATAGGCTTCTGAGAGCAGCTGGTGGGTTTGAACTGCTGACCTTGTGGTTAGTAGTCTAGTACTTATCCTACAGTGTCATAATAGAAAGAGCATTGAGTTTGCAACTTCCTATGTTTGACCATAGGTAATTTCCTATGTGACCTTTGAAAAGTCATTAAATCTCTTTGAGCTTTATCAAACTATGGATACAACAGCTGCTGTGAGAACTAGAGATATCACATAAGCCATCTGGTTCATACTCTGTGCTTACCAGTTAACAGTAGCCATTTTTGTGGCAGATTGAAAAAAGGAGTCATGCTGCCAATGTCAGCATGCTTGACACTCTCTTGGTAAAAGTAATAATTATTTGTGTGCTTCTAAAGGTGGTACAGTGGAATGAACTGTGGATTGAAGCAAAATTGTGTTTCAAATTTTTTTGCAAACAATAGCTTAAAAATCCAAAGTCCACAGACATAGTCTTAATTGAGAAGCCACAGTTGTAGACCACAAAAGATAGGACAAAGACTGATCTAGAAGAGACAATTTTATGAGTGTTCATTTTTCTCTATCTGAGACAACATAAAGTAAGCTGAACAAGGGCCCTTATTCAACTTATTTTAAAGGAGCAGTTTATCCCAAATCTGACTGCTAGGATGGTAAAACTGGAAAATGAACCACCAAAACCTGAAAGTTGGAGTCATTTGATTTAGGCAGTATGAAAGTTTAAACTAGTGACTTTTGTAATATACCAATCTTCTTGTTGTTGTTATGTGTTGTAGAGTCGGTTCTGACTCACAGCAACCCTGTACAGGTTTTCCGAGGCTATAAACTTTTCCAGGAGCAGAAAGCCTCATCTTTCTCCTGCAGAACAGCTGGTAGTTTCGAACTGGTGACCTTAAGGTTCACAGCCCGATTCATAACCACTACACTATTTGTTGATAAGTTGTTGTTGTGTGTGTGTGGTTTTTTTTCCCCCTGAGGGTAACTACAAAAGAGATTTGGATCATTTTTCTAGTTCTAGTAATGAAATTATGTCATCAGTACCAAGGACTTTGCTTGTCTTCTTGTGTGTTGTGGATGTATTTACTTCACCTAATCGATTAATCAGTGTTCAGATATAACTTAAAAGAGAAGAAGCTAAGCCCATCCATTGTTTTATAGCACCAAAAATTGTAATTTAATCTGTCAGGAGACACTCTTCCTCTACTTTTGTTCTATAAAAGGCATCATGTTCCTTGGAGCAACAATAGTCTAGGGACCTTGATGGGACTATGTAACTTACAACTTGATTCATTCATAGGCTGTTGTTTAATGAATTAGAAAGATAGTGATAAATTAGTGCATTGTTGTTGGTTTGTTGGGTTTTTTTTTCAGTAATGCATAACAAAGTATAGCTGTGATCAGTATATAATACTTCAAGTGAAAAAGGTTGCTTTTTCCTCAGTAAGATACCAGGTTCCAGGAAAAAAACCAACCCATAGTTGTGAAGGGATATTGATTCAACTAGAGTCTATATCTTGGGCAAGAGATGGATTTACTCTTTAATATTATACTTTGAGTTTATTTTTAGGAAACCATACCTATTAAAAAGCTACTAGTAACAGAACACACTGTTTTGGACACATTCTTAAAATTCTGTGGCAGATCGTTTATGACAAAGGTAATTGAAAAAAAGCTATAGAGGATGAAGTTTCCGAATACTTCATGGAATACTTTGATTCATGAAAATGTGAAGAAATTATCATGGGATCATAGAGTCAAATAAAATAGCCTACCTATGTGCACACAAAAAATTGATACCTATACAATTTCTCTAAAAGAAGTCATACAAAGATCTGCTCTTTATGATGTTATTGAAGACATATATAATTTCCTAATGTATCTTTAAGTATCTGAAGCATTTCACACAGTTGGAAGATTTGCACACTTGCAATTATTCAATAAAACAGTTGAGTTCAATGATTAGATGGTGGTCTTTTGGGAAAAAGAATCATAATACAAAACCAATTATTTTACATGCACTGTCTCTCTCTATATCAAATCCCTAATAAGAGTCAACTCTTATCTACATGAAGCTGAAGAGTTGACATTGTTGAAATTTGAAAATAGATGCTTCAGTCCATGATATTCCCATATTGATTGTGGGACCTATTAGAAACTTCCTATATAATAGCAATGAAGTTACAGCCAATGGTTCATCCTGAGACACTTGTTACATAAAAAAGTAAAGTCTTTCATCTATAAAGAGAGAGAGAATAATTGATGTTTAGCCTAAAAATACTCTTAAAAGCTAAAATGAAACAAAAGGAAGTGATCACTTTGACTTCAAATGCTGGGAACACTGAAGGTATAAATTCCAGGAAAAATTAACTGTGTGAACAAGATTGTACTGTTCTTGTTATGTGCTGTTGAGTCGGTTCCTACTCATAGTGACCCTATGTACGACAGAAAAAGCATTGCCCAGTCCTGCACTATCCTTACAATTGTTACTATATTTGAGCTCATTGTTGCAGCTGCTGTGTTTGTCCTTCTTCTTGAGGGGGGGTCTTCCTCTTTTTCGCTCACCCTCAACTTTACTGAGCATAATGTCCTTCTCTAGGCATGGATCTCTCCTGATAGCATGCCCAAAAATACATAAAATGAAATCTCACCGTCCTTGCTTCGAAGGAACGTTCTGGCTGTACTTCCTCCAAGATGGATCTCTTCCATATCCTTCACCAGCACCCTAACTCAAGAGTATCAATTCATCTTTGATTTTCCTTATTCATTTTTCAACTTTTGCATGCAGGTGAGGTGAATGAAAATACCATGGCTTGGGTCAGGTTCACTTTAGTCTTCAAAGTGACATCTTCGTTTTTTAACACTTTAAAAAGAGGTCTTTTGCAGTAGATTTTCCCAATGCAGTTTGTCATTTGATTTCTTAACTTCTGCTTCCATGGATGTTGATTGTGGATTCAAGTAAAATGAAGTCCTTGAAAACGTCAACCTTTTC